CTAAGGGCCACCTTAGCAAAGCGCATCCCAGGCTGCATAGCCGCACTACCCTACCCAACCATACCACACATAAACATGACACTACCCCCGGGGTTTACACAGACGAGCCGGCGAAGCAAGAAGAGCGCCAGAAGAAAGGGCCCTAGCCGGCGGGGCCCAGCCAGGACAAAAGGAGGTCCCACAAAGCGCCTACACCGGCCGCATTTGCGGTCGGGGTAGACGACGGATGGGGCCCACCTACGAAGGCTGTCCAGGCCTACACGAGATGAGGCAGGATAAAGAGGGATAATCCCCCTCGATCCCAAATCATTGAGGCCAATTTCTAGCCATAGAATAATGGTTACACCAGCTACCTAAGTAACCTCACAAATTTTATCTCCCCACCATTTAATTCTAATATTTCTAATAATTCCGTTTCAAGCCACAGAAGCAAAAGTTGCAATCGGATTCAGAAATTCAGAATATGCTTGCAATAAAAGGCCCATTCTGCATAATTCAATTCCGGAATCAATCTATCAAAACGCACCTACCATGTTCATGTTCCGTTTGACTTGACCTTTTGTCAAATTAGTCCAGTTAAGATTATGCAAGAAAATTGAAATTTAGCTAAGACAAAAATATGTAAAAGGACAACGACAACATAATGAATAGTGTATTTACTAAGATTATGTTAGATTAGCTAAGATTTGTTGTAAAAGGAAAACGTTTATCTTGTCTTGTTAAAGCTCGAGTTCAATTCTTACGAAATCACTTGCATTCCATAAGTGAAACGAAGTTAACTTTACTTTAATAAACACCATAGAAAATATAGTAGTACTATATTTTCTATGATAAACACACATTTACAAGTTTGAGCAAGCACTTTATAAATTAATTTTTTTATATAGTTTAAGTGGTGTAAATTTAAAGTTTATAGTTGTAGGTAGGTAGTTGTTCTTAGGTTTCGTCCTCACCGTCATTGCTAGAGGTTAGACATAAAGACATGTACTGGTCTTTACCAGAGACAATTTTAGTACCACTATTCTTACCATTCCTTACTTTACTAGGCTCCCTTATAATCATGTAGTCTTACATTACATTATTCAAAATATGTTAAACTTTTTAGTATTGATAGAATATAGACTAGATAGTAATATTTACCCAATCTTACCTCGAGTGAGCGGTGATTTATTATTTATTGGCCATTAGTAGATTATTGTTATTATCTAAGTTATAAAATTCGGTATATATTTTATTATTAAATGTTTATGACAAATATGAAAAATAAATATTTATATATAAATGCATACCAAACATTAAATAGGTATTGCATCATATTAGTATCCACCATGTCGTCAAAGTATAGTAGCTTTTAATTTTCAGTATATTACTGACTTAGTATGGGTGAGCCAGAAGGATATCTTCCTTTTCCTAAAGGATTTAGCACGTCAGCCATTCACCATTCGCAGGAACCAGAGCAGTGGGATTCTTGGGCCGTGGTAACTCCATTAGTAACTTCAACAACTTTCAAGCAACATGGACCAGCTGAATTCAAGGCAAGTTTAAAATCAAGAAAAACATTGAAACTGTTTTATATTTCCTTACTTTCCCCTTGTCAGTATTGCATAATTTTTTAAGTTTTTGAATTCAGAACTGGTTTTTATTATCTGTTTACTTTAACTTACCTAAACTAATTCAAATAAATTCAAAATAGTTTTTTAAATCCTGGCATATAGAGTGTGTCCCATAGCTGCCTTATGAGTCGCTTTAGAAAAAATGTTTGCTTCTATTTTTATTGTTTATCCGTGTAAAATATTTTCAACTATACAGGGCCTGAGTGCCAGGGATGGGCGAGTAGACAATGTCGACGTAGACAATGCAATTGTCTACGCGTAGACAATGATCTAGATGAAGACTTAATTTGGAAGAGTCGACAATGTAGACAATGTCGACAATGTCAACAATTAAGATACTCTCAAAACTAGAAAAAGGTGTGGTAGGTACCTCAAAAAAAGAATTTCATAAGGCTGTAACTCGTGATTCTTGCAAAAAAAGATAAATTGAAAATTTGGAATTTGGAAAAGTACCTACCTATCACAACCATCTATAAAAAAAATGTATGAACCGAGTACAAAAGATCAAACAATATCTGCCGAGAATTCACGAGAAAAAAAGTGTGTCTCGCTTGATGCTCCTCGATAGTTTTAGGTCAGGTCAGATTGACCAACATTTTTTTTCCTATAAAATATCTAAATAAAGATATGTCGCATATATTCTTTAATGAAAATTTTATCATTTTTAAAGTCAGCAACAATTTGGAATATCTGATTAAGTTTTAAGAACACTTTGTGTAGATATTTTAGTTTAGTTAGAACACGTTAATTTTATTTTTTCTAAAGGTGTTAGAGTTACAGAAATTAATAGAAAAAAATTTTATTAAATATTTCTACTAATTTATAATATAGGTACCCTTTCAAAATAATTTTTGTTTCAATCCTAGATCATATTATGTAAATATATAAGATCTAAGATTTTAATACA